GAGGGAGGATGACATGTAAGGATACCCCTGAGCTGTTTTCTCTAAATATCTAGCCCCCTTCCCTCCCTTCCGCCCTCCCTCCCCAGAAAAGCCCCCGTCTGGTGTGATGATGCACAGGTTAGCGTTTCGACTTCGCCTCTTCTGCTTCTTTTTCTGAAAAAGATTAAAGACAGGTTCACCTTTTAAAAAGCACACCGCACAATCTCAAACAATAAGAAAAGCAATTTTGTGAAACCTTGACATCCTGCAGATACATATCAAATGTTCAGAGATTAGACGTGTGCGAAAATCTAACAAAAAGAAAACAATAATGTAATCTGCAAACTACAGGGCCATAATGCGTGCATGTGCGTAGTGTTTTACACAGTGACACCTTTAATTATATATGCTTGGTTTTTAGTAGTTTTGTGTAAGTGTGGAGGGGATTATTATGGCAATACTGCATGAGAACAAAAAATACCAAAGTTAAAATTACAGATTTGCCTCACTGACATACTTGAGCACATTTTAATGTACAAACAGCTAGAGAAAATGTAAACTGATTTGATCTAATATACAGGTTGTTATTGATCGCGCCCTCATCAGAAGCCCAGCTCACCTTTCCTCAGCTCTTCTCTCTTCTTCGCTGCATCCTCTCTCTGCTTTTTAATAATGGCTAGCCTGGCGAGGTCTGCCCTGGCCTGCTCCGTCTTCCCCTCGAGATGCAGCTTCATGTATCGTTCTTTAGCCTTCTGCTTTTCAATCTCTTCCCTTCGAAGGGAAACACATACACAGTCAAATAACCCTTTCATTTCATTGGTTTGAGGTTAAGTATATGCCATCTCGCATACCTTTCTCGTCGCGATAGCTCTTTAGGTGCATTGACATCAATTTCCACAACCTTCTTGCTCTTCTGGGAAACTCTATTGGGATTCTCAATTTCAATTAATCCTTCGACACCTTTCCTTTTAGGTTGCTTCAAAAGAGAAAGATAAAAAATATATTAATATATAAATAAAATCACATCATTACATAAAAAAAAGAAATCAGGAACAGCCTCCACAGCACAATCATAACCTAATATAAACAGTTTGACAATATTAGAAAAAAATAATCATGGTATAATTTGCATTAAAATGTAGGATCTATCATTACTGGATCTGCATATTGATGAAATTGTGACAGAAATGTATAAATAGCATGAGCTTCTCAAAGCCATACAAACTTTACATGTTCTAGACTGATTCCTACAAGAATAAAAATTAGTGAAGTTGTTTAACATAAATACACTTGCATATTTTTATAGCCATAGTTCACAAGTTATATATATAAATTGTGTAGTCACAAAAAAAAGATGAACAAGAATCAAGTGACAACAGCAAGTGTAATGCATGTCATATTGTATGGTAAGGTAATTAACCTTGCGATAGGTTTTTTCAATACAGCTGATGAGAAATCACCTGAGCTACACACAAAGTTTCTTTTAGCAATCACTAAATAAAATAGTTTATGAATAAAGTAAATCAGAAGTAAATCAGGTTTTATGTTTTGTTTTCTTAATATTTTGTTGTTAAATAGAAGTTTCATGATTTCATTTAACTGGAAATACTGGTGGTATCCCATTGCTATGATGGTCCTTATTGAACACTGTCAATGTCAAGTTACATTTGAACTACATGCCAACTAATTCTCAAAAGTAGACGTCCACAGATACTGCACTACCAGCAGACAATTAATTAACTACAAGAAACTTTGCTTACAGTCTACTAAACTAATACTCTGAGAATTAGTTGGTATGTAGTTCCAATAAAACCTATAATAAACAAAATATGAGAAAGAAATGAGGATTGGGGGAATATTTGTAAAACTTAAATGGAAAGAATTCTGTTGGGGAAATGATCTAAAGTTTTTCATCACATCATCACAGAAAATACACAGAGGAAAAGCCACAAGTTGCAGAAGAAATGTGTGGGGAAACAGAAGCTAATCACTATCATGTTTTTTAGGATTGTCAGAAATTAACCCAATACTGGAAATTAAAAAACATTTAGACAACATGTTTGAAGTAGAGATGGCTCTTACTTGTGAATCTTTATATTTAGTTAATATAAATTTAGATGGATGGAATAATAAAGACAAGAAACTTTTTTTTTTTTGTAATTTATTCTTTTGGTAGCTAGTAAAAAAAGTAATAATTTTTTTTTTTAAATTAAAGTCACAGTTAAATAACGGATTGATGCAGTGATTGTTTTTAATTCTAATTTAGAGTAAATTAAGAAAATTTCCAGTATATTTCACCAATATGCCTGTATTTTTCTTGAATCGTAACTTTAAAATTTAATACAATGAGATTACGTAAATTATTTATGCATTTTCCTTTGAAAACTCAAATAACTTTAAAAAGAGAGTGGCTCTTCCAAAAACTAAACAGAGAAAATGAACAATGTGAACAATTGAAACTTCAGCTGCTAGTTTGTTTTTCTTAGGGTTCATAAAACATCTTTATTTGTATTTCAAAGAAAACCAAAAGTTGATGTGTTCATAAAAGAAAATGTCAGAGGCTCCATTTACTATATTAGTTTACCAGACTTAACTAAAGTGACTCACTTCATCATCACTGCTGGTCTCCTCTTCTGATTCTGAAGAACTTCCACGTTCAGCTCCTCCATTCTCCTCCTGCATCCAGAGGAATCAGTTTCCATCAAACACACTGATGCTGGGCAAACATCACAGTAATTTAACAACTAACTGTAAATGACGAATGTTGAACATCATTAAACTCACCAACTCCTTTTGAGCTCTCATCTGACGGTCAATCTCCTCGGGGTTGCTGAACTGCTTTCCACGGCCCTTGTGGCCCTTTTTACCTAAGAATAAGCAAAGTGAGCAATACCTTAAACCCCGAATACACTTAACTCAGCATATACGGTTATTTTATACCACCATTATGTTGTGCAAGAACAACGGTAACGTTATTCGTGGAAACTATCAGATAATCACATGTGGCTGCTCTGCTCCAGCATGGCCTGAGTTTAGCATACTTGCTTCTCACACTGTGATTTACACATTATGGAGACGCTATAAACACCAACCGTGACCTTAAATTCACCCTCAATCTCATACAATCGTTTCGTAAGTTCTTTTATTAAAACCCTGGCTCTGTCGGTGAGCTGGAAAAGACAATTTAGCGAACACGCAGCGCCAAACGACACTCACCTCCTCTCGGCATTGTGCAAACAGTCTGTGGCGATGAAAATACTGAAAGGAAAAATATTACTTCCGCTCCTACAATTGCATATACCCGTAATGATTGATTAACTTTATTATATTGTGTCAAATTATCTAAAAATGGGCTGCTTTAAAGAAAATGTGACTAAACCTCGCCGACGCAAAACCTGACTGTGAAAGCACTATTTGCCGCTTCCTGAGTGACGTCAGCCGAATTTACTCTAGATGATTGACTGCTGGACTGGCCAATCAAAATTTAAGACGCTTTCTACGTCAGAGCTGTTTTTGCAAATTCGTGAATTATATTTGAATATGTAATACCTGTTGTTTTTGTGGCATTGAATTAATAAAGTGGAAAAAAAATCGTGTATTGTATTGAATTTATTTTATATAAAGTATTGTAGTATTATTTATATAGCCTCCCATTATATTCAATGACTACATGCAGATTTTTTACATACATGATGAACGGATGTGTGATTTATATCCAGGTAACATAATATGTGCAATATTGTTTTCTTGGACTATTCTTTACTTTTTTGTATTACTTTAGTTCTTTATCTTTATAATGGTAGAAACGAATTATCTGCGTAGTTTTATGTAATTAAAATCAGTAACGACAATTGATTATACACAGTGCATATTTGAGTAAACCCATTTTGAAAATGAATATTTTTATCCATTTCTCAGTGAATATAAGCAATGTATTTTAGTGCATTTAAACAACTAAACAATATTTTAATAAACATATATATTTATTTTAGTCACCAAACATATTTAGCAATTGAAAGATAAAACAATTAAATTCAAACAAAATATAGCAAAAATAAATTACAACCGAAAAAATGTTAACTAAATTAAATTTTTTTTTTTGTATTTAATATTTTTCTATAACATAACTTTGGGTGTATTACTTTTTACTGTTTAGTTATTGTAAGTTATTTTGTTAGATAAGCTCCAGATTTGGCTTCAGTAATGACTAATCTAATGTATAAGCACAAATATAATATTGTATAGCTTTGTATAGAAAACATCAGTGATACGCTTACAAACACACACGCACATGCATCTAGATGATTATAAAAGAATCATTGTAAATATTCATTTATTTTCTTGTATATATATATATATATATATATATATATATATATATATATATATATATATATTTTTATTTTTTTTTATTTTTTTTTATACAACTGGTTCTGTATTCTGCAATATCAGAACTCCTACAGCGTCTTTACCCTTTGTGTATTATTCCGCCCACAAACTCCCAGCAAAAAGCAGACACTACAGATGAACAGTTTAAAAGATCCTTTTAACTGTTTTACCAGCTGTTTAACTGTCAGCTTATGATTTGAATCCAAGGCGGAAGAAAGTAGTTCCTCATACAAAAGGGTTTTTGAAACCCTCCATGTTTGATTTTGTTTTTATATACACAATTATGCGGTCAAACTGTTGTATAATCGCAATATCACACTCGTAGCAGTGCGATATGGCTGTATTTCGGCACCGGTGCCTGCAGCCTCGTGCCAACGCACGCCTCCCGCCAGTGCCGATATACAGCCATATCGCACTACTACTTGTGTGATATTGCTCATATATATATATGTGTGTGTGTGTTTGTGTGTGTGTGTGTGTGTGTGTGTGTATATATATATATATATATATAGCAACACATAATCTAACATGGCCTAACTGTTAGGCCATGTTAAAGTATTTATATTACATTACATACATACAGAATATCAAAGCAACATAAATATAAAATAACGTTTCTAATAACATGGCACTCTTGCTTTTCATTTTATTACCTTAGACATTTTATTCGTTGAACCATAATCAAATATGTTCTCACTGATTTGTAAAATAATACAAATTAATATGCAGGAATTAGAAAATCTAAATACGCTCATGTAACAAGACACTCATTACAATAACATAAATAGCTAAACAAAATGTCCCACTGCAAAAACAAAAACATCTCTTTACTGTTTATCTTTCAGGATTGACTTCCACATATGTCTGCTGTGTTTGTGGCGAGTCTTTGCGTTTCTTTTGGCTAATACAGCAGAATGAAGCAAGGGCCAGAAATATTCCAGCAGTGATCAGCTCTCCGCCAGCCATGTAAAAAATCAGTTCATAGTTCTTGTATTTATCCACCAAATAACCTGTTGGAGAAAAAAAAGAACAAAAGATTGATCAAATTATGATAAAACTACCATTTCCTAACACACGGTTCACTCTGATGCCTGTTTTTGTCATGACTCACCAGCAGAGGGAGGTCCAATCAGCACAGCCACTGCCTCAAAGAGGAGCACTAGGCCTAATGCACTAGAAAACTTGCTTGTTCCCACAATACCCATCAGCACTTCAAATTGTAGAGCTCCCACCATGCCATAAGACAGGCCGAAAAACACACAAAAGATAATCAGCCCCTTGTAGTCTGTGCTCGTAGCTGAACACACATCTGTCAGGCCATTGAAGAGCAAGGCCAGGCTGAAGAAATATGACATCTTGGGTCGGACCCATTTTAAACCTGCCACAACGCCACAAGTAGGACGAGCAAAGATGTCAATAAATCCAATAATAGACAACAAAAAGGCAGCCTCCTTGTCAGGCACTCCTTGGTCCTTAGCATAGTTGACTAAGAGAATAGTCGGAACAAATAAACCAAGAACAACTATAAATTTTGCAATAATATAGATAATAAGCCCTTTGTCACGAAGTACGCTGAAGTCCAGAAGCTTCTTTTTACTGGGCTTTTTATCGTTATTGTTTTCACAAACTATATTCTCCTGTCCAGCCTCAGGAGGCAGCATTTCCTTCAGCTCTTGATTACAGGCTTTCCTTTCTTTAAGTTTCAGGGGTCTCATAACAGCACCACATGTGCAGCAGTTGAGCAGAAGACCACCGGTAATGAGAAAGCCTCCTCTCCATCCATACTGATCGAGCAGTAATTGTCCTAGCGGAGACAGGGCTGACAGAAATACGGGGCTTCCAGCTGCCGCCAGTCCATTGGCAAGTGGTCTGCGCTTGTCAAAATAAGCCCCCAGCATAATCAGTGATGGTTGGAAGTTCAATGCCAGTCCAAGACCTTTAAAGAGACACATTATTTAAAAAAAAAAACAGAAGCAAAGACACTGACATCGACAACTTAATGAGGTAAGGATGTGCAATGACATGACTTTCAATCTAGATTTTGGACTCACAATGATTATGAAAAAACATTAATCGAGATAAAATGATTATTGCATTATATCCCACACCCTTTCTTGTATCATTTAATGTGACTTTTGCATCATGGGACGTGCTTGATTTTTGTAAAAGTGTATTTGATGCATTCATGTTTTTAATAGCACAAAGAGCCAATTTTATCTGGATGCAGCCTTTATGATGCAAGCTGAGATTGCATCACTCAGCGATACAATGTCAGACACAATGCAGTGTGTACATGCTCTCAGCCTCGGAAATGAGCAGAACACACACATGTAAAGTCATATTTGAGCTTAAGGTGTGTGTCTAAATGGGCAAATACATTCAAGTGTATCGAAAGTGGTTATTCTTAGTGATTATTCACATAAATTCTGTTTGTTATGTAATAAATGAATATAAAAAGTTGACAACAAAAAGGCATGTGTAGCCTAAATTGGAACCATGGTCTTAAAGTGACAGCAGCTGTGCTTATTATGATTAATCAAACTACACAAGGACAAAGACAAAATCAATCACTGCTTTTGTAGCTTTAGTAAAAAAACAGATCAAGTTTAATTCTTACAGCAAGGATGCTTAAAGCACAGTTTGTTCTATTTGTATATTTTATTCTATAATTTTGAGGACTTTTTTTTTTTTTACTATTTTGGTATTTAACTTTTTTCATTGGCATTGGGAATTGTGAAATTTCATGATATTTGAAGTGTATTTACAGGGGAAAAAACTAAATATGAATCAAAACAACTTTTTGATCATATGACAAGCTCATAATCAGTTTAAATCATTGCGATTATGATTTTCCATAATTGAGCAGACCTATGATGAGGTGATGGGGACAAGCTAGTAAGAGCTATACAAGTAAACCTCAAGAGGCACACTATCTCATGACACCACTGACTGCAGTATTTAGCATTCTTGTTAAAATGCTTGCCTCCCATCCTGTCAGATAAAAAGTATTATATTGGTCTAGTGATCCGCAAGGTCAGGAGCCTTTTAAACCTCATTCATCCAGCCTCAAGAGGTGCATTAAAAACTGAAGTCTTTTAGCATCCTGATTCTTGTTAGAGCACCCTCCTCCCTTTTTAACATGCTTGCCTCTCATGTTGTCAGATGTGAAGTGTTATTGGTGCCATGAACTGAATGGGAGTAAGCTTCAGTGGAATGAGTGTAATAGAAGTCAGTTATTATAAGTGCAGGTTAAGCTAACTCCTCTGGCTTAAAATGAGCATAAGCAATTGATTTTAGAGGCTGCAGTCTTTACCATAATTGTTAGCACACCTTCATCTCTTTTTAATATGGTTACATGTCATGCTGTCAGATGAGAAATATTACATTCAGGGATGGGCATTATTTAAGATACATGTATTTCAAGTGCGTATTTTTAAATCTAAAATAGCATTTTGTAATTATATTTTAAAAGGGTTCATAAAAACCGCTGAATATTTTGTATCAAAATACTGTCTTGTATTTTTCTATTTTAAAATACTGTAAATACTTTGTAAGAAGTTTACAGTACATGATGGCATCATTAAAATGTGGCCTCAGATTGATGAGGCCAGATCAGATACTCAGTTATTTGCCTAGGCTTGAGATAGACTAAGAAGGTGGTCAATGCTTAGAGTATGGATGGAAATTACGCACACATAAAGAAAATAACAGACAAAAGGCATGGAAATGTTTGGAAACAAGTCCACAGTCATTGAATACAGTATACTGCACAATGCCAGTAGTATGTAATGAGTATGAAGTACAATTTGGCATCAGCATCTTTGCTTAAGAAATTAGATGGAATAAAATATCAGTCCTTAAGAACAGGATGAGGACCCTTCAGCGCATAATCATTCTCAGTCTCAATGCATTTAGGCATGTAGAAATGATCAAGACAATCTCCTGTGCTTCAAACAGAGCATCAGAATGGGAAAGGTGATAAAAGTGACTTTGAATGTGGCAAGGTTGCTGGTGCCAGATGGGCTGGTCTGAGTATTTCAGAAACTGCTGCACTACTGGGATTTTCACCCAGAACCATCTCTAGGGTTTACAGTGAATGGTCCAAAAAAGGGAAAATATCCAGTGAGTGGTAGTTCTGGGACGCAAATGCCTTGTTGATGCCAGAGGTCAGAGGAAAATGGCCAGCTAAGAACAGGAAACTGAGGCTACAATTCACACAGGCTCATCAAAATTGGGGAATAGAAGATTGGAAAAATGATGTGATGGAACGGGAGATTGGGATCATGTATGTACAGCTGACAAATCTGCAGCAACTGCATGACGCTATCATGTAAATACGGACCAAACTCTCTGAGGAATATTTCCGGTACCTTGTTGAATCTATGCCACAAAGAATTAAGGCATTTCTGAAAGCAAAGGGGGTTTAACCTGGTACTAGTAGGGTGTACCTAATAAAATGGCCCATGAGTGCAAAATAAAATTACTTATTTATTATTAAACCCATTAAATTTAAGAACCTGTTTCAAATACTATACCCAAAAAAGGTTGTAACAGTGTTTTATTGTCATTCACACATTTATGCAGAAATTAAACAATTATTTTGAGCTGAGCATATAAACAAACTGGCTAAACGAACAATTCATTGACTTACTAGACAGTAATACGTTATGTTATTGAAATACAAAGACTCAACAATCAGTTTGAGACCTGGAACTGATAATCAAATAATAAATATCTTTAGGTTACCTGTGATGACACCCGCAGTGATGTAAAGATGGATAATGCTGGTAGCAAAAGATGCACTTATCATCCCAAGTGAGGCCAATAATCCTCCAACCAACATGACTGGACGGCATCCAAACTTATTGACCATGATGCTGGAAATGGGACCTGAGTTAAATCCAATATATGAATATACCATTAGAAATTGTCAGAAGATGTCAGAAGACTTCTGACATATGAAAACAATAAATTTACATTATCTTACCTGAACCGTAGAGCATAGCCAATATTATTGATGAAATCCAGGCTGTGTCTTTATATCCACAGCCAAAGTCATGCATCAGTTCTTTGAAATAAACACTTATAGCTTTTGGGAAGGCATATGAGAAGCCAGTGATGACAAAACCTCCTAAAAGAACAACCCAGCCCCATCCGCCATCTGGGGCACCTGCCGTCTCTCGATCTTCTACAATACCTCCCATTGCTGCTCAGACTTCCAAAAGAGACACAAAAACGCTTCAGTATTAGTTTAGATTACAGATTAGAATCTAGAAATCTTTTAAGAATAAAGATGTAAACCGTTTCTATATAGTTGATGCACTACGGAACATGTGCTGCTGTTCTTGCACCTGTGCCACATTACAGAGGAAGTTTTATGCACACAAGCCACGTTTCTATTTACCCACAGGAAGTACAGTCATATTTCTACTTATGACACTCATGATTTATATATAGTATAGATCAGCAAGCATCTCAATCTACATTCACGGTAAAGTTATTGACTGAATTAATTGAACTAAATGAGTCCTCACTTCCTGCTTAAATCACTCCTTTTTGTTTGTATGATTTTTGCATGTAGAGAAAATACATCTCATGCTCAATTTAATATATATTTAATGGTGTAAAATGATTTGTATAATGATTATAATAATAATATATTATTATTATTTTTATTTTTTTTTTGCTTTTTAGCACTAAAGAATAGTTTTAACAGGTTTAGAAAATGTTTTTGTTTTCTTTTGTACATTATTATTTGGTGAAAAAATAGGAGTATTTCTTGTGCTCATATGAATTTAATAAAGATTTTAAAAAGTTACTATTACTGACATTTTAAGAACACATTATGGTTTAGTTCTACTATCTGTTTACCAAGAAATAGTTCACTAACAAGGTCAAATCAGAATCAAACTTCTTGGCATCTCTAAGCCAGTATTTTCCAACCTTGTTCCTGAATACACACCAACAGTACACATTTTACAACCTCTCCCTAATCAAATACACCTGAATCAACTCATCAGAACATCATCAGAAAATTAAAAGAGACTCTAAAAGCTGAACTTAACGGGTCAGATAAGGGAGACATCTAAAATATATATTGTTGGTGTGCCTTCAGGAACAGGGTTGGGAAACACTGCCCTACACTGAAAAAAATTATTCAGAGATGACTCCTTGGATTTACTAAATTTTTTTACGTAAGGTGGTTGTAAACAATTTATTTGTGTGGAATTTAAACAAAAAAATTATGTTGAACATTTTTAAACTTAATTTGTTTGTTTAAATTCAACACAAATAAATTGTTTGCAACAGTTCTGCATGCAACACTTTTTTCAGTGTAAGCAACACAAAGGTGTCAGAGATGTAGCATTTTGGCATTCACCTCAAATGAACTTTACAAAACTGACTTTATACATAAAACACATCTTCATTTAAGTAAAATTATGTTTTGTTTAACTTTTGTGAAAACAAAATGTGGGTGAAATAATGTTCCATTGTCTTTTAGCTTACAATATGTTTATGGAGAAATGTAAAAAAATATATATTCTGACCTTACTGAAATGTATAAAAGAAAGCAAATATTAAAGGATTACACTTTTATCAATATGCTTGCAAACTTTTAAAATGGCATGTTTACCTTTTGAACGTTATTGTAATTGTCTGCTACTTTAAAATGGGTTGATGATCTAACATAAAAGTCATCATTATTTTTACTGTGTTTCACAGAGGCAACCCAGTGGCGCAGTAGGTAGTGCTGTCGCCTCACAGCAAGAAGGTTGCTGGTTCAAGTCTCAACTGGGTCGGTTGGTGTTTGTGTGAGGAGTTTGCATGTTCTCCCTTCGTTTGCGTGGGTTTCCTCCGGTTTCCCCCACAAATCAATGACATGCGGTACAGGTGAATTGGGTTTGCTAAATTGTCTGTAGTGTATGAGTGTGAGTGAGTGAGTGAGTGTGTGTTTATGGGTGTTTCCCAGAGATGGGTTGTGGCTGGAAGGGCATCCGCTGCGTAAAACATATGCTGGATATGTTCGCAGTTCATTCCTCTGTGGCGACCCCGGATTAATAAAGGGATTAAGCCGAAAAGCAAATGAATGAATGTTTCACAGAATCATATTTTGAAATGAAAATGTTTTGTGTGATTTTACAGACTTTAAATGTAACATCTGCATATGGCAATTATTAAAATAATCCCTAACCCTGGAAGATTAAAAATCCAGATATGGATAAAATAGCTTGTGAACGATTATTAGACTGTTTTTAAGCAACTCAGAATACAAGTAAAAAGTCTTACCTTATATATCTCTCAAAATCTCTTCAAGTAGTTGTAAACCCATTAATTAACATCATGGATTTAATATAGATAAACAAGTCTTGTGTCATCAAGCGAGCCACATACATATGAATTACTTTTAAGAATAATCTGCTAAATAAACCTTCTGGTGCACCGCCTTCTTTTTCCCAAACTTCCTACTAATAAGCTGTAATGCCCGACAAGGCTCTTACTCATGGGAAATGAGGTAAAATTCCCGGACAGTGGAATTATTTGTTTTATTTGAACTCTTGTTTGGCTGTTTTTCGAACATTAATACAGTCATTTGCCGAGTGTATTTTCAATCTAAAAACAACACAGAGTCATTACAAAGATTTAAGCAGCTTTGTGCTTTAGTGAAAATTAAATGAGGTTAAATAAGTCCTTCTGTGAGTGTGTGTAGAAAACAATTGTGTTTTATTTTTTAAAATGACACTAGAGAATAAATGCAGTACAACATTTATTCAGATATTCTTTTAATTGTTTTAAAAATGAAGAAAGAAAAAACATGAGTAGTGTTACATAACATTAGGCATGTAGTACGTGCTTCACACTCCATATGAAAATCCTCTTAAATCAGCATGTACATGTTTAAACCTTTACAGCTTTTGGATAATCTTGTGAAACCGAAGAAAGAGTGTATTTGTTTTTCTGTGATTTGAATACACGTTCAGAACTACACATGGAGAGTTACAGGTTATTGTATTCAAACACAAAGAGTGAGAATTTCAGCTTTTTATGTGATCTGAAATCATTTGATTGAAATCAGCAGCATGTTTTATGAAAGATTTAGCTTTGGGGGGAGTCACTTTAAAACACAATACAAACAACTTTTAATGAAAAAAAAAAGTATGCATAAAGATGCCTTTATATGAACCTAGTTTTTATTATTTATGAGTCAAAGACATTTGAGTGTCATCAAATTAAATTCACTTAAGCGATTTTATGTTCATAGAAAGCATATAAATGCAAGCAAATTACTTTAATGTTTCAAATATTTATAAAATAATATTTATAAATATTTATCAATATTTGTGAGAACAAAGCGTCAAAATATGGAATATGGAAATATGGAAAGCATACTTATTCAGACCTGTAGTTATTAAAATATATAAAAGAACAGACGTGATTGAGCATATTATTATATTTTAAATGATGAAATGTTTCTTTTTAATAATAGGTAATGGCTTGACGAATATAGCTACAAAGTAAAAAATATTTCAATTAAACATAATTCGTATTTTGGGGCAGCACTGGTATGTTTAAAAAGTATTTTGATTTTGCATAATGATGATTCTAGTTGTAAATACGCTGGACAAGATTGTCCTGTATTTATAAATCAATTTTGCACTATTGTGTTTATGATTTTTGGTATGAATGTAAAAAAAAAACAAAGATTCTTTTTGAAATGGAGCAGCTTTTAAGGTAATATAAAAAAAAAAATCGAAACAAATTTTATACACTATTGGTCAAAAGTTTGAGGTCGGTCGGGTTTTTAAATGTTTTAAAATAAGCTTCTCTTGCTCACCAAGGGTGCATTTATTTTATCAACAGTACAGTACAATTTGTAAAATTGTGAAATGTTATTGCACTATAAAATAAGTGTCCAAAAGTAGTTTATATTTTTATTTAGTTATTTATTCCAGTGATTTAATGATGAATTTTCAGCTTTATTACTCCGGTCTTCAGAGTCACATGATCCTTCAGACATTACTTATTATTGTTGTTATTAATAATATTATTATTAATGGTAATAGTAATAAAAGCAATAATCACTGGAGTATAGATTTCATTTAAAACTTCATACAATAAGAAAGCAGTTATTTCAAATGTAATAAATATTCAACAATTTAAAACTGACCCCAAACTTTTGACCGGTTATGCATATCCTTAAAAAACTTTTCTTCATTGACTCCTAACATAATTGCCAATAAAAATAGCAAATGAAATGTAAAAAAAGCTAAATATACAAAGTAATATAAAAGGTGTCCTCCCTTTATTTCTTTCTCCTAGAACTGCTCTTCATATCTTCAAGCTCCTTCTGTACTAGATGTGTTTCTGCTGTCGATTCTGAAAGCTGGAAAGGATGAATAACAATCCATCAAATTTGACACCACATAATTATAAAGAATATTGCTATGTTTTCAAGATGTGGCAGCTTTCGAAATGAGAATCCTTTAACTCTCACCATATCAAGAAGAACTTCAATCTTCAGCCTGAGCAGATTATTCTCCTCCTCTAACTGTAGATTCCTCTTCTTTAGTCGCTGAACTTCTTTTCCTGACACATTTCCACCTGATTCTGAGGTGTCGACAAATTTATTTATTACGGCTAATTGTCATTATATGTATTGGGGGTACTGTTGCAGCATGCAAGGCCATACCTGAAATCCACTGTCCGTCTTCGAATTTGAGGCTCTGACCACCAATGTTCATCACAGGAGATCCATATTCCAGACCCAATTCAATCTCACGGGTCGACCGATCCAACTTTCAAAAGAACATATAATGGATACAAATTTTTAATACGATGATATATATATATATATGATGATTATATGAAATTTTAGTATAGGATACTGTATGGATAATGCTAACGTTAAGTGAGTTTGTGGTTACAGTACTCAGCAATTTATGAGTATACTCCCCACAAATCTTTCATTTTAATTGATATTTCTATAGGATGTTCAAAAATTAGTAGTACAAATTTATATGTTAGGGGAAAATATAGAAATAATAAAAATAGCAAAAAAATTGAAAAAATCAAGAGAAACAAAAAAATATATACATATTTATATATACATACAATATTTACATATATATTTTGTTGAAATGTAGTTTGTATTTTTTCATGAATTTGTTGTATTATCTTTACATTTTTAAAGATGTTCTGTGACTAAAATATACTTTGAATAAATATATCTGTTTGATAAATTTGTTTTGTTAAAATGCCTCAATATATATATTGCTCATATTCACTGAAAAATTGATAATTTTTTTTTCAATTTCAAAATGGGATGTAAGCACTGTAAGTTACTATTGTTTCCTACAACAACCACAGTTTTTCTTCTTCCTTTTTTGCAGTTAAAACATGGTCAATTTTTTATAGGGATATTGGTTTAATTAACAGAAACGTGTACTTACTGTATGTAGATTGGAAAGCGATGCAGACTTTCGAGGTGGGGTTTTCTTGGGACTGAAAATATTGCCAAAGAGGGGCATTTTGAAGTAGATAGTCTGACTTCTTAACCTGCATCAATAACACAAGCGTAAATCGACAACATTTACAGCGTGATGGTGTTCGAGTTCGGCTTTGATTACAGTCAACTAAAGTTGAACAAAAGTCAAAAAAGTTCATCTTGATCTCAAAGTGACT